GTTACAATTATTATTACTAATAATACTACTAGGATTACAACAAATACTACAACTACAACAAGGATTACTACCACGAGTACTGCTGCTGCTACTAATATTAGGATGAATTAAACCACGACTACAAATATTACTACTTCTACTACTAGGATCATCACAACGGATACTAGAATTGCTACAACAACCACTACCATTACTAGAACACAGTTAATACTACCACAATTAGTATTGCCACTACTAGTACCACTAGGGTTACTACGAATACTACTACAGCTAACACTATTTCTACTCCTACTGTTACTACTAATACTATTGTTGTTACTACCGATAATGCCACTGCTGCTAATACTACTCCCAACATTACTACTTTCGTGACTACTACTACTTCTGCTACTAGTAGTAATATTACTGGATCCGCTATTGCTAATACTACTACTACTACCACTAATAGGAATAAGACAACGTCTACTGTTGCTACTGCTACTGCTACCACTACCATCACTAACACTACTTATACTACAAGCATCGGTAGTACAAATGCCGCTAACGGTATTAATACTGCTATTATTAATAGTACTACTACTACTATTGTCACAACTACTTCTCTCGGGAATAAAAATGCAGAGATGCCGCAGTGAAGAGGTCAAGAAAACATAAGACAACGCACTGCATGTCCAATGCCTTGAAAGAAGTGGGCGGAAGGAAGAAAGGAACGTCCAGACTTATTGAGCGGCCAAAAGCACTGCGGTCTCTGAGCCCCAAACGATTGTGTCGAAAAAAAACAAACAAGGATAACAAACATACCGCGACCGCCACTCGCGAGGGATCAGTTCTGTGCCACTCGAGGACTGTAGGGTCCCGGCCAGAGTCGTGGGTCTCTAAGACTGCGTACTCATAGGGCGAGTCGAGGTCCACCACAAGCGAACTGTCCCGACTGCAGTGAGAGAAAGGCAAACGAGAGAGGGGTTACTAAAGTACAGCATGCGTTGGACAGACAGCGACGCACTCCAGACCATCGCAGCCATTAACAGAGACTAGTGTCGCCAGTACCAACACCGGCTCGACCCGTCCACACCCGACTGCTGTCCCGAC